GTTAAGACGACAAAGTGAAAATTTTATCAATCCAAAAATAGACACTTGGTACAGGTACACTAAAATTCGCAAGATTTCAACGAATTTGGTATTCGTACAAGGGTACAAGTACCGAGAAAAACCTTTTTAGCAATAAGTAAAATTGGCATCGACTCCCCGGCCCCCCACACCCTGAAAACAATTTTTTCCTCGATTCCAGATAGAGTGGTTAAAGGCGATACGGAGCGAACCGGAAGTGCCAGGTAGGAAACCATAGACAGGAAGTAAAGGGGAATGTGCTGGATATAGAGTGAAGTTGTGCAGTTCATGCAAAGTGCAAGAGCCGTTTTCCTGCCGAGTGATAAGGTAGACATGCGAATTCCCCCGTATAACCACATTAGAAAATAGCGAACCGGAACTTGGGGGAGTCCAAGTGAGTTGGCTGAAGTAAGTGACAAGGTATGTAAAAAATGCAATGAATTTCCGGAAATCCTCGAAATCTTCATGAACCAACCAGGCACCGCCCTTCGCGATCCGCGGCCTAGGTCTCTACACCTATTCCTAGTCATACGAATGAATCATCGTCGTCATTGGAACTACCAGCAATTAGCAAGGATCGATCGTCGACCGGAGTTCGTAGTATCAAGGGATGAGTAAGCGAAGCAGTGAATGGCTGATAGATATGGACGATACCAGACTTAAGCTGACATATAGGAAGGGTAGGAGAGTTCCGGATGATGGTGGCGAAGGAGCTGATGATGGTGGTAGTCGAGGGTAGTACGTATTAGTGCAAGTACACTGGCACTATATAGGACTGGTACTAGCTGACTGATCGTGCACGAAAGCGGTCAGCATTTTAACACGAGGCAAAGGACTTTCGGCGGAGTCATCGCTTCCGGCCTGCGAAGGTGAAGTAGGCGGCGACGAAGATGGCGGTGGTCACGAGGGCTAGATAAAAGGGGTGGGTTTGACTCATGCCATGGAATATAGATAATCAACTGCAGGAACTCGGCGAAGCTTATTCAGCCGGTATTCGATCGATCATGTGACTAATGTAATTGAACGAACAATTTTACACCCCCCGACCTATTGGCACTCATCCCGGATAAGACCCTTTTTTTCTCCTTCAACCTGAAGCGAGCCTGTTAGAAACAAGTGAAATTAACTTGACGCTGGTGCACGTACACCTAGTTCTAATTGCAAGTGAGGAGGAGATCGGTACTTGGGGTCGTTACTGTGTATAGGCTAAAAAAAGAATGAATCCCTAAATCATGAGTTTTGCACCTCTGTATTCTTGAGCTACAGTCGAATAGAGAGAAGACACAATTACCTATAGAAACGCCGATGTGAAAAATTGATATAACGAAAAAAATTATATTTTTAAATATATCTCGTCAATATATCGATATATTTCGACGTGCAAGCTAAGTCGGGCATATTGTACTACTCGTAGATGGCTGTACCATGGGAATTAATACGGATTAAATGAACAGAAGCATTTTCAGGTAGCGCAATAGTCCTGAATGACCGTGTAAATCGTACATGAGACGATATACAGATCGAAAAAGATGTTTTTTATACTTTATCACTATGATATTCCTGTTTTGATGCATGTATATTGTCATATAAGTCATGTAGTGAATTTCCAAGGCTAAAGAGCTTCGCGTTCCAACTGAACATGTAATTTCATATTTAACGTTATATTTTTAATTACATTTTTCACAGTATGCTACCTTCTCGCACGGTGGAAAGTGGCATTTACATAGTCGTATGCATACAATAGTTCAAAAGCGTCCGGAGATAACACCGGGGGTGTTTAAGACTACTTTCCAAGTTTCATCTCTTAACGAGCTTACCGGCTCCTGGCAGTGGGCTGGGAGCAAAGAGGACGGAGAGTAAGTAGGGCTTCCGTTCACTAGGTAAACGTTACCCTGTGCATTATAGAACTGGCCCTATACGCGACCTAGTCAACCTAGAATCGACCTCTAGAGACATAGAGAAAAGAATAGGACGAAGGAATGAGAGGAGAAGGTATGTGTGCGTGCGAGGAGAGAGAGAGAGAGAGAGAGAGAGAGAGAGA